GTCTATTTGTAAGCAGGATTTAAAAATATATTCTGTTGTCACTGAAATTTTATCAAGCTGCAATATTGCACGGAAAAGAGAATTTCCGAAAATTCCATCGTAGCCAGGATGTCACGTATTTATCTATGTATATGTACATATACATATAGTGGGACACAACAAACGTGTGTAACTTGCATGTAAAACAATATTTCCAAAAACAGCTCATACATAGTCGAGAGGTAAAAACCATGACGTACATGCATGAAATTTGGCGTGCAATGGAACATTCCCGAAATTTAACTGGTATATAACATAGAAATCTATGCACGAAGAATTAGTTAGTTTATGAAAATTGTCTGATTCCTTTTCATGATAGAACAGTTGACCACGTGTTCTGCCAAAAATGACATTCCAGCAAGTACAATGCACCCAAGAAATATGTACAAACATCCAGATAATTGAGACAAGTTGAGCGCACCGGTTCCTACGTGGCCTCTTGTTGACTTGTTACTTTTCTTATCCTCACCCTGAAACCAGGCGTGCCTCTGGATTCGAATATCTTGAAAATCCAGCCTCCTAATTTTCAAGATGACCCCGGTGTCCGTCGCCCATCGCAGCACGTTGTCAATTTCTTCCTTAAAAACGGCCCGCTTTTCCATGACCAAACCCGCGTTGATGTTTAGCGTGGACGAGGGCGACTTGACGACAGGGCTTTGACCGTGAGCATCGCTAAGATCGCGATGTTTGACAAACTCGGCGATAGAGTCCCAGGAAATGCAGGCGAATCGAGCCTTTACTGCAAATAATATGTACGTTAATTCACTGTTTTCTGCAAAATTATAAAGGATGAGCAATTCCAAGAGGTTAGACGGATTACGGTTGAAGATTAATTTATCAGATCGCAGATCATTTTTTGCATTACAGAATGGTTCTTTTAAGCAACTTCGCACACATAATCGCCCCATCGGTGTGACCAAAACATCGCAAAACTATTTAACATCCAACCTCGCAAAATACAGTTTGAGCAAATTATTACTAATTTTTGAGCTCAAATAGTTGCCACTCAATAGGACAGTCATCCAGTAATCTAATCCGTAATTTCATTCTCCAAGATCCAGAAATCTCGGATAACTCGCTCCTTTGTGAGTAGTGTGGAATACAGTTTAAGTATATTTAGTATCTAGATTATGTAAAATTTCTTATGGGATTACGATTACAATCAGATTACATATGTAAGTAATCTTGGGATTGCCCATCCCTGAGAATTCCAAATAAAGTGAAAAATGAAGGTATGATTATTACCAGCGGCTAAAAAACAATTGACGTCGTTCTCCTCGAGACTCATCCGCTTAAAGATTTTCGCATAAGTGGGATTTTTGGAATGTTTGAGAACCTGGTACGCCGCACCTTTAATGTATTGCAGCCCGATTTTGTAGTCGGAATGCGCCAGCGCTTCGAAAGATTCTGGTGGCTGTTCAATATTTGGAAAAGCTAGAAAAGTCACGAGTTTGGAGCGATACGCAGTCGAGATGAGGAGAGTGAACATAAGCCAAAATACCGTGAATGATCGTAGGGCTACTGAAGATCGGCTGGAATCTGCTGGGGAAGGGGGATCTTGTTCCAACAAAGTTCCCAGAACGTACTCAACCAGTTTTCTGCAACAATAGAAAGGAAAAGTCAATTAGAATCACTCCGTGATATATAAGTATGTAGGTAAAAGAGGCACGATAGATACATATCGAGTAACAATAATGAAAACCGGAATCACTTCACACAAAGAAAAATTTGATTTGGATTAGATTCTCAATGTTTATAGAGCTGATTTGTATGAGTTCAACGGCACCACTAATTAGGAATTACTCCGCCCCCTCGCTGAGTGGGAGGAGCCCAGAGTTGGAAAAATTCGCTCTGTCTGTGATTTTTAGCGGAAAGGCGGATCAATATTTTTGAGAACGGTTTTCACCAAAAGTTTCCTAATTTTGTTCCCTACAACAGTTTTTGACCGTTTTTTGAAATTCGCAAAACGAATATCACGATTTCGTGCATCCAGAACTTAATACAGCGTTAGATTGGGAGCTAACACAGCAATAGATAGGCAAGAACTCAAAAATATTCTTCTGTGTCTGGGACATCAGGGAGTGGTCATATACACTACGGGACAAAAATGAATAGATTGGATGCATGAACTGATTGTGTCTTCGAAATCTCCGAAACTGCGTGACCGAATCGATTAATTCTTTTTGCATGTTATGCACAATTTAATAGGCTACTTAAACAGCCAACTTAAATACGAAGGGTCTAAAACCTGCGCTTTGATTATGCGCATAATTAAAAAAAGTAAAATTTCAGACGGACAGAATTGAGTAGATTTTTAAAACATTCCAGCAGGACTTGACCAGGTAAGATGTTTTTGTTTCAAAATCGACATTTTCATGTCTGGATAAGTCATTTACATAATATTCATCAATTAATTAGGATGTCGAAGGTCAGGACCGAGACCACAATCCAGCAAAGGGCGCTCATTATCCAAGCATGGGAGGGAGATGAAAATGGGTCCAAAACTCCCAAGGAAATATCAGATTTTTTCAAACTCAATTATAAAACTGTTTGGAGGATCATTGACCGCTACAGAAAAACCAAAACAATTTGCAATACACCTGGACGAGGACGAAAATCAATTTTCAACACCCGAGAGAAGCGCTCAATTCTCAAAACCGTTAAGGTGAATCCTAGAGCCAGCGCGGTGGATATTGCAAATTCCGCTGAAATTGATCTTGGCAAGAAGGCAAGTCCTAAAACCATCCGGAGAATATTAAATGAAGATGGATTGAAAAACTTTCGGGCAAAGAAGAAGCCCTTCATTTCCAAGAGGAACATCAAGAAGCGGATGGACTTCGCAAAGGAACACATCCACAAGGATCAATCGTTCTGGAACAAAGTTTTGTGGTCCGACGAGAGCAAATTTAATGTCTTTGGGTCTGATGGTAGGATTAGAGTATGGAGGAAGACAAATGAAGCCCTGAAAATGAAGAATTTAAACCCAACCGTAAAGCACGGGGGCGGCAGCGTCATGGTGTGGGGTTGTTTCAGCTCTGCAGGTCCGGGGAATATGGAGTTTGTTGAAACTACAATGAACCAGCATATTTACCAGGATATATTGAATGGGAATGTCAAAAGTTCGGCAGCAAAACTTGCCTTAGGACGACGATACATCTTCCAGCAAGATAACGATCCTAAGCATACTGCGAAATCGACGTGGGCGTTCTTCAAAAAAAACAAGATGACTGTATTGGATTGGCCCCCTCAGAGTCCTGATCTCAACCCAATTGAACACTTATGGGATCACATTGAAAGGGAGATCCGAAAGACGCCGATTCCCAACAAAACGGAACTCCAAAAGCGGATAATCGAGGCGTGGAATGCTACATCTCCGGAAGTCACTGGACATCTTGTAGACTCCATGAACAGACGATGCACTGCCGTGCTTGAAGCCAAAGGAGGCCCTACTAGATATTAAATGTCGAAATATTTGAAATTGATTTTTTTATTTTAAATAATAAATCAAAAACTGAAAAATCTACTCAATTTTGTCCAAGCGGTTTCATACATACGACGGAAATATGTAATTCTTGTTATTCATCTTAGTTTCAAATCTGTGATAAATGCAGAAATTTTAGAGGATTAAATGCTGCATAATGTGCAAAAAAAATTAATCGATTCGGCCACGCAGTTTCGGAGATTTCGAAGAAACAATCAGTTCATGCATCCAATCTATTCCTTTTTGTCCCGTAGTGTACCAGACAAAGTATATATATTCCGAATCCTCCCGCCGAGATCTTTCTAATGATACCCCATTTATGGGGTAATGTGAGGTTTGACCTATTTTACCTTAACGGTCCAAATCATAAAATTTCAGAAAATGGTCAAAACCGGTTGTAGGGAAAAAAATTAGGAAACTTTTGGTGAAAACCGTTTTCAAAAATATTGACCCGCCTTTAAGCTAAAAATCGAAGACGGAGCGAATTTTTCCAATTTTGGGCTCCTCCCACTCAGCGAGGGGCGGAGTAATTCCAAATTATTGGTGCCGTTGAACTCATAAAAATCAGCTCTATAAACGCTGAGAATCTTATAAAAATCAAATTTTTCTTTGTGTGAAGTGATTCCGGTTTTCATTATTGTTACTCTATCATGTACATACGCTCCGAAACAAATTTTTCGAATCATTATAAACTATTACAATAAATTATGCACCATGTAAAACTATTATTGCCACAATTGCCTGGGGTGCCAGTTAACCCAGGCTAACTCCCCTTAGGGCTCAGCGCAATGGGATTTCTTGTAGAGAACGGGAAATTCATATTTGGGAGAACCGCGTCGTTGTGAAAGTTATTAAAAAAATTTAATTACATCAGTAATATCTTTTCCTGCAACGCCACAAGATCAGCCCACTAGGTCCGTGCATGGCACAAGGATATTTACAGGAAACGTAAACACATCAATATTTTCCACAAATTCTGAGCTGGCTGACGGTGTAGATCGGTTCAGCCAATATCCCCTGGAACGTATGCGTACTGTAATGCGATCGACTGGTGGATGCCAAGACTCCAGGCTCGTGTCGCCTAATAAGATTCACATTTTGCAAAGTGAATAGTGTTTCTTAAACAGAATTTCATTGGCTTTTCAGTGATGTAATTGTTTTCAAAATTCAAATAACTACAGTGAGTTGTTCTCTACAGTGAGTTGTTCTCTACAGTGAGTTGTTCTTATAGCAGAACTTTAGTGGGTACTGAATAGGTATGTATTAGATTTATTATCGATAAGCTATATCTAAGCAAAAAATCAGCTTCTTTTCTAAATTGGACAATGCCCCCACAGAGATCTCACCTAAATGGGGCTTTTTAGAAAATAAAATATGTATAGTGATTTGAGACACTTAAAGGGATTTTGAGTGGAATACAATCTCTAATCTCCTTCCGGTTCATTCTACAATTAAAAACTACGAGCAACTCTGATTCCAATAAATTTCTGTGCTCTTACCAAAATACAATTTATTTATTTTTCTCAATCTTCACAACAATTTAGGCTATACTTTTAAATAAGTTGAGCTGAGTTCTTTGCCTTGTAGTAGTAATAAAGAAAATTTTTTTATGTCTTAAAGCTTAAAATATTTGTTTACTCCAACTTATTTGGCGGAGCCTCAAAGTCGCTTGATCCAACTTCGTGTTTGTGGATGAACTGATCTTGCAATTGTTTGGATTGTTTCATGAAAAAGTGCATGGCGACCTTATTGAATCCAGCCCAATCCACTTTTCCAGTTCCTGAAAAATTTGCAAGATTCGGAACTGTTTATTAAATACTGCCAATATTGAGCGACGTACCGATTTAATAATATTTTGAGCATTCACTCCAAATAATGTAGTACACTCTAAAAAATTGTACACAATTTACGAGTAAAACATAAACAACGTTGTATGTATATTAATTACACAACATTTGGCAAAATTTGCCAAATTGTTATTTCCATCACAATTTTAATCAATCTGGAGCGAATTTAGTACTATTATTTTAGAGTGTGTAATTGGCTATTACCCTAAATATAACGACTTCAATACGGTAATAACTTATTTACCGAATTTTACTACATTTATCACGACGTTGATAATACCTTTCCTCCAATAGAGTTGTGTCATCAATATAATAATTTTAGTGGAAAAGTTGGTCAAAAAATATTTTTAAGACGTGGCGTTATATCAGTTATTTTGGTAATAAATACTCAACCCCATATTATTTAGAGTGTACATAATCACCTGATCTTTCCGCATTAGAAATTTCTTGCTCCAATTCCGACGCATTAATTTCCCAGCCCGGCTGCATTTCCGTGATTAATTTTTTCCCCTCATCCGGAGCTATGCTGCCCCTCCGCTCCGTTCGGTTGAAGGCTTTCTCGATCACTATGTAGGAAGTACGTATATTTAAAAATAAATATCTCATAAAATAATTCTGCCTTGTCGGTTTCTCACCTTTATGCGATTCCGCACGAATTTTTTCTTCCTTAGTTTGTACAAAAATGTTGAATCAGAAACGGATTTATGAATATATAATTGTGAACGTACTCACCATTTTACTTTTTAAGTTTTGCTTGTAAACTAACGAAAATCGTTTCAAACTCTCTCCAACAAGGAGGATATCTTACTGAAGAGTCCAACTTTCTCGTCCCACATACATATTTATCCAGAGTGGTACATATTTACAAGGTTTTTTTTCGTGCGGAGCAAAACAGTAAAGGGTTTAAAATAGCTCGAGATCATAAGTCAAACTCTGTTTATTTAAAAAAAATAACAATATATATTCGGACAGAAAGACAGATATGCATTTTTGTGTAGAGATGGTATAAGAAGTTTCTTGTGCATGGGGGAAAGCACGTAATAATTTTGGCACAAGTTGCAACGCCATAATTGTGCTGGATATTATGCGGCAGGATGGATATTTATGTTTATGCACCCATCCATATTACGTCGCATTATTATTTACAACAAGAGCAAGGTTATGAAAAAATGTTTGACAAAGTTGACTTCCCCGTTGATGGAGAAACGAAGTGGTGATGGAGTGAGAAAAAGTGAGAATGAAATAATGTTCCCTTGTTATGGAGAGTATTTATACTCCATTTCCTACAGGGAAAGTATCGTATTGAAGCAAATGTTTAATTTGCACCTGTATGTAAACACATACACACATATACATAATTATTCAGGTATGTTGAGCCGAACTATTTCCCCCAGGGGTTGGTTCGGGTCCGAAAATCGTGTCAATCACGTGATTCGCGACACTCTTGACCTTTTCGTTCTTCGGGAAGATGAACGCTCCTCGCAAAATCTTGGCCAAGTCGAGCGACATGACGCCTTTGAGGATTGTGGAGACGCCGGTGTTAATTCGGTCAATTTTTGCATCGTCTACTGCTGGTTTTACCGATGTGGTCGTGGTGGTGGTTGTAACTGTGGTGCTGTTTTGTGGCGTGATTTCAATCGGGAGAGGGGACGAATCTACTGGGGGAATTTTGGTGGTTGAAACTGGGTCAGACTCATTTGGTGGAGAGGTTTCATCTGCAATATCTGTCAAACCGGAAGTTGGATTTGTGGACGATTCAATGTCAATTTGTTGGTTTGTCACATTTTGCAAAGAAGATGCTGATCCCATTGGGTCCGGCGTTATTGTTGCTGCCATCTAAAATTTTATTTATGTAAATTGTTTACTTGGATAAATTTACAATTATTAAGTAATAGATGGAAGTGGTCAACTGCTAAATTAATTTTTACACTCTTAGAAATCCAGTATTAAAATGATATCAAACGGTATTAATATATGACTCTATCAAAGTTGTATTGGTATGTAATACCGAGTGGTATTAAACATATCGACATTAAAGTTTTCCCGTGTCGGTATAGCAAATTTTTACGGACATGTATAATGTTATCTGTAATACCTAGCAGTAATAACTTTAATATCGATAAATCAATATCTGCCTGACTTTACCAGATTTCAAACAGTGTAACGATTATTTGTACTTGAGTAAGTGGGTCTAGGTATTTTTTGTCTGCTTACCGAGATGACCACAATTTGCAAAAAAACTGCCAGGCGTCCCGAAAATGGGTACATTTCGAACTAAATATTTACGAGAGCTTAAAAATATTTAAGAATATGCACGCAGTTGCAAATATTTCGCAATTCTGCTAAGCACTGACAGAAGCAAGTATTTGTTTAGTGTATAAGGAAATCTGCCACCTTTATTAATTTCTCATATGTATGCATGTATGCAAAACCAGTTAAATACACATTTGAATGAGTGGGTATTCCCGTTTCGCCAGGTAGAAAGAATCTCACACCTGCGGCGTTAAGGTGACGAAAACAGTATGACTAACGCTAAAACTGTAATAAATTAAGGTTGGCATGCAACTTCAGCGAATAAGTAAATAAGTACATATGTAGGATTGGCTTGTGAGTATAGAAAAGTTTTTTTCTTTTACTGTACTTATTTTTTATTCGGGGTACATTTATGCAAATTCTTATGTACATATATATACGTACATACCGAAGAAAAATAATTATGTAAGTGGGAACAATGCATAAAGTATGTGGTCGAATTTGTATAACGTGACGTGACCCACGTCATGTACATAAATACGTGTACGTATTTACTTAAAATGGGAAATGCATTTATGCAAATACTTGTTTATGTACCGATCTAATACTGATATACTAGTATGCGATACCGATGCATAAATAAATATGTAGATAAATAGGAATCATGCATAAAAGATGTGATCTACTTTTTACCACATGGCGTTACCCAGATCATACCTATTTAAAATGGGAAAAATGAGATGCTTTAAACTCATTATCGATTAAATCATCAAATGCCTTACGCACTGCTCTGTATGTAGAATGAAGTCTGTGAATGTTTCATGTTAAGGATTATAATAAAATTATTCGTACATCCTTACCTAGTCGTCCATCTAGGTAAAAATGGGCTGAGAATCCCGGTTCCTAAAACTTTCCATTCCGGAGATAAGCCAGGCGGGTATTAACTCGTTGCCAGAGATGCATAAGGTCACGCGTTCACCAGGCGTGCCACCCAGATTGCGTGGCACGGCTGATCAACGCGTGTTCCTATATTCACCACTTCATCCGACGACGGATTACAAATATTTTTCCAGATTTTCATACTCGAATGCATTAGATTTCGCCGAAAAATTCGCAGGAAAATTTCCGAAATATTCCTTCCATTGACAGCAAGATTTGAAGCGACCTTGGCGGTAACAGAATAAAATCAAATATTTACGAGATGAATTTGTACTCTTACATATGTACACTCTTAGAAATCCAGTATTAAAATAATACCAGGTGGTATTCATCTATTTTTCTACCGATGTGGTATTGAAAAGTAACACCGTAATGTATATAGATACTGATTACTTGGTATAAAAGTTCCCATATACCGCTCGGTATTAAAGTTTTACCATTTCAGTAGAAAAATTTTTCCGGTATAATTTTAATACCAAGCGGTATATGGGAACTTTTATACCAAGTAATCAGTATCTATATACAATCGTGACTATACCAGATTTCTAAGAGTGTAGACATGCACATATACACAACTTTTAAAGAAATAAAGACCTTCAAGAACACGAGTTTATGTAGATTCCAACTTCATCCACTTCACGCTGGTCATGCTGTGCAGACTTTTTAAACCTTGCATCAGTGAACATCATAGTTTTATACGTCTTAAAAGTAATACATAGATGTATTTGACTGATTGTTGTAAGCGATTATTACTGAGAATTATTTTGAACAAACCTGTCGCATTTTTAAAATCAGCCTTTATGACGCAGTCCATTCCACTTGGTATGAACATCTTGGACCTTGTACCTTAGGACTGAGGGGGGGGGGGGCGTGAGGTTAAACTTGCAGCATGGAATGTATGCATCTGGAATTATGTGTCCTGCAATTTTCAGGATTTTTAAACTCGAGTTATTTGGGTATCTATTTACGGAGAAAAAATGGTGGTGGACCGGTTCTAGCAAGGGAACCTCAACTACTGTCCCATCTCGATTTCCTTCGGAATAGCCTTAATCGACAGATAATTTAATGAAACTAAAACTTTGTCATAGAACATGCGGTGCAAAATCACGTTTTCGCGAAATATTTGGCGAGAGCTGCACCAAAACCTGCCATTTCCCAATGCTTTTAACATAGCCCCAGCCTTTTTCGAATGATGAAATGAACTTTATTGAATATTGAAAAATTATTTGTGTACCCGTCCACGTAATTTCAGCCCGATCACGAATATGCACTTTAGTGATGCAGACATTTGCAAATTTTTTTCAAATTGCGAAAATCAGAAAAATTTCGCAAATTTTAATTCTTCGTTGCTTTAAATTCAACAAAATTTTAGCTAATGCAAAATACAATTTTCTCATCGCTAAAAATTTGCAAAAATTTGCAAAAATTTTGCAAAAACTGAAGTTCTAAACTTTTCATGAAAATTACTTAAAGTAACCAATTCTAGTCTTCTTTACGTATTTTTCGAAATTATTTGCGATTTATTTTTGCAAAAAATTGCAATGTGTGGCGTGATTTTTTACTTGTTAAACAAATTAGGTTTTCCTTTATTCGTACATACATATGTATGTAATGATAATTTTTTAGTTTGCATAATGAAACGATAATGAAAAACTAAAAAATTGCGAATTTCAATTTTTGCAAATTTTTGCAACATGAAAATTGCATTTTACATTAGATAAAATTTTGTTGAATTTAAAGCAACGAAGAATTAAAATTTGCGAAATTTTTCTGATTTTCGCAATTTGAAAAAAATTTGCAAATGTCTGCATCACTAAAGTGCATATTCCTGATCGGGCTGAAATTACGTGGACGGGTACACAAATAATTTTTCAATATTCAATAAAGTTCATTTCATCATTCGAAAAAGGCTGGGGCTATGTTAAAAGCATTGGGAAATGGCAGGTTTTGGTGCAGCTCTCGCCAAATATTTCGCGAAAACGTGATTTTGCACCGCATGTTCTATGACAAAGTTTTAGTTTCATTAAATTATCTGTCGATTAAGGCTATTCCGAAGGAAATCGAGATGGGACAGTAGTTGAGGTTCCCTTGTAAGTATAAAAATTGTTTGTCCTAAAGTGGAACTGGGTATTTTTTATGTGTATATATGTCCTTTAATTTGGGAATATGATTGGTGAAAAGTTGAAAACCAAGTGAGGATTAATTTTAGCCTAGTTCTACATGTTTAGATCTGTAAGCTTCTGTATATATATGTAGGAAGGCAAATATCTAGGTGGCTTGCCTTTCGCCGTTTTAGGCCTTTTAAGATGACACTGGATATGTCGAGGACGACGAAATATAGCGGGTCTAAACTCAAGCTCATTACAGACACGGTGACGATTATCGGGTAGACGTCGAATAGGCGAAGTATGGAAGAAATAATGATCTCCTGTGCGGTGGAATCTGTATATTTCCGTTTAGAAGATGTATCTGCAAAGTGAATTGAATAATTAAAATTAGTGAAATACACTCAACAATTAATAACAACAGTTATATCGTTTGAAATCCGGTGGAAATCGTACTTTAATAATTGATCAAATTATTAGTAGAATTTTTAGCCCGAACCAGGGCTTATGTAATCGTCATGTCCGTCCGTGTGTCTTTCGATAACTCTCGAACGGGTTGACGGATTTGGACCAAATTTGGTACAAACATCTCAAACATGTATCTGGACAATGCAACGACCGAGTTCGAAGATGGGTTCGATCAGAGAAGTTTTGGACCGGTGGGGGTCATCCGAGTGGATGGGGTATTATGCACCAAAATTTCAAAATTGTCGTAGAAAGCTGAAATTTGGCATAGAGGTTGCTAATGGCCCCTAATGGAAGAATATGAAGTGATATTACTAAATTTTCATATTCCGGGACCCGTTAAGGTGACCCATACCGATTTTAATAACTTGTCGTAAAAAGCTGAAATTCGGAACGGTGATACTTAATGGCTTCTCATGAAATTATATGAAGTCAAAGATGAAGAAAAAGTAACCAGGGGTATAATAAGGGGTACCCATACCGATTTCTATGAGTTTATATATTCAGCTAAAATTCAGTGAAGAGTCGAAAAATAACTTAGAATTAATTAGGACCTGGTTCGGGCTAAGCAAAGCTATACTGATAGGTTTTAATAGATAAATACACTGATATGTATCATTTTATTATTCGTTAGAAGTATGAATTGCATGGTTTTAATTAGTTAACACATATGTAAATATGATCTATAGGTCAAGCTTTATGTATTTTGCGGGTGTTCCAAATTAATTAATTTGAAAAGATTCCCGTATTTTTATTTATTGATATGTTTATGATTTGTGAATTTGCAATGTATAGTATACTAATTTTAAATTAACATGTGCAGATTTTTCCTAAAGCTTCTCCAATTTGAGGATTAGGGAAAAATATGAATACGTATTCGTTATAAAATTTAACACTTTACAACATTTTCTTTACCTCATTTTGAATTTGTAAAATTTGTAAGATTTTATGCTAATAATTTTACAAGTATAGTCCTCCAAATAAAAACGCATTAATTAGGAAATCTCCTCACCAAAGGTATCACAATGCCCCCCAACTCCAAACCATGATACGTTCCTCCACTTTACGGAAACCATTCCATCCGGAAGCCCCCCCAACGCCATGTTTCGTGATCATAACGTGCATCACGAATCCATAAAAGTTAAACAGTCCAGAAAGCAGAGCGATTACAATGCTTGTCAAATCGTCGAGTGGGTGACCAAATTTGCATAAAAGTTTCGCAATAAAATAAATCACTGCCGCCATATAGCTCGTGTCGATTGTGACGAAGCTGTAAACGTGCCAGAGGAGGACGCCTCTGTCTTTTTTCCAAGTCGTGTGCGTGAAACCTTGCGAATTCATGTCCCACTGGACGGGACATTTCGAGTACAATTGAAAAATATCGGGTTTCTCGGTGAAAGCGGAAATCACGTGGTTAACAGACATTGTATTTAAGATGTTGTTTGAATAAAGACTATTTCGGGTTGTACTACTTGCGTATTTTGTGAGAAATGAAGGTTTGGTGACATTTGCTAATTGGCAAGGTTAGACTAAAAGGTCGGACTGTAAATTGGGAATTTAATTTAGTAAATATTGTATTTTTTGAGGTGCCAGGCTGACGTAAGAACGCACCGTGACCTAATTAGTGTTTCGAGAGATGGAATATTTAGTTGTCGGATCAAGGACCAGACCATTTGGAAATTAAGTTGTCAAGTTAATTTTAAGAGACTGCGACTTCACAACTAATTAAATATGTATGACATGGTGTTGCGTCTTGCTTAAATTTGCATCCGATTTTTTTATCAGACAATTCTGCCATAAAATTAATATGAGGTATAATAAAAAGTCAAGTAGAATTTTTAACTGCGAAAATACATAAGCCCACAAGCATATGTAAATACATAGCTTTCATCAGCATAAAACATTTATGGATAGAATTATTGGAAATTTTGAATTCCGACCAGACCAAATCTTTTCCCATAACAATGGAAATATTTTAGTATGCAAAACTGGAACATTATGCATCTCTACGGATACATAGACATGTCCAATGTGTATGCAATATACCTATGTATATATCTACGTTAGCATAATCAGACGTTTTATCACACATCCATGTTCAGTACATATATTATTCAACTATTTAAATATGCTTAACTTACATATTAACCTGCCTCACTGCATAATACAATTGTCTCTTATCATACAATCTGTTGATGTCCAATTCAGATAACTTCCTTCTTTATAAAGCAACCCATTAGTTGACCCTGGTCAGTTCGTATAAACATATCCCACACAATCCTTCTCCAAAGTTTTTCCACAATTTGTCCAGACATGCATTTCACCACCACGTTTTCGAAGTTTTCACTCCTCGTCGTATTCGCACTTCATTTAACGTCGGGCCAGCTTCTAACAGTAGAATACTCCAGCGTCACCCTTCCCTTTCCAGAATCCTCAGTCCGCACCTTTTACTCCACAGGCGACAAAATCTACCTGCTTGGCGGCGATTTCGAAATGTCTTCGGGAATTTGGTCGTTTTCAATTTCCTCGGATACAGTCGAATACGTGACCGCCATGCCGGGTCGAGGATCCCGAGGTACCGTCCAGTCCGATACGGCGGGAAATATTTATTACCTCGGGGGTGGTAATATCGGCACTTCTAACCAAGTTTATAAATTCGACCCAACCACAAATGAGTGCACACTTGTAGCCACATTGCCATTGGATGTGCAAGACTGTGTCGCCATAAAGTACAACGAGACCTCCGACACGGTCCACATTTTCGGCGGGGATGGCCAATTCATCGACATCCTGACCTTTGACCTACTCCAATTTAACACAACGTCACAAGTGGACGTCCTACCTGTTATTGTTAACCAGGGGACAGGGGTTCGAGTGGGGAATAAGGCGTACATCTTTTCAGAGGGACAGGTCGAAAATACGGCCGTGTTGGAGTTGGACCTCGACATTTTAAGGATGATGGCCGTCGGGCCGGCCAACCTGCCGAGCATCACGTTGTTCCCATCGTCCGTGTATGATGGCAGGTATTAAAGATTTGTTGATCCGATCAGGATGATATCCAATCCGCCGGATCGGATCGGATTTTTTTTATCCGACCATTTAATATGACGTGGATCCGATCTGGGAATCGGATTTGATCAGTTGCAGAATTTAGTCGGTTGGATACGTTTTCTAATCCATCCGAACCGAATCCGAATATTTCGGGTGATAAAAATATGCATCCGAACTGAGTCCAAATTTTTTAGTTGAAAAATATTCAAACCGAGCCGAATAATTCGGATTCTGATAGGTACATACCCATCAGAACCGAAATTCGGCTAACCGACTCATATCTGGCCGACTTCATGGTATAGTAACTCTCCGGATAATCTGGTCTGATCGGATCTTTAATTTCAAACACTGTTTGCATTTTGCAGGCATGTTTACCTTATCGGGGGATATGCTCCCTCAAATATGACGACCCCGATCGATGGACTAATTCAATTTGATCCGGTCTCCTTTAATAATGAGTTCATCCCTGTGGCCAACTTTCCCGTGGAGGGGGCAAGTTACTTCCGGGTTTCGCCGGCGACCGTGTATGTTCCGGATTTGAACAGGATTTATTTTTTTGGAGGATCATCGTTCAACTATACGACGGACGAGTTTAAAATTCATGACGAGATTTTCTACATTGACCTCGACCCACTTACTCCAACTTCCAGAAGTACGGACGACTTTGGTTGTGAGGGACGGATGGATGGTACGCATGCTTAAAATTAGCCATAATTACCTAGTTATAAATATTGGCATAGTATGTATAATACCATGCGGTAGCAACTTTAATACCGAGAAATAAATATCTGCAGGATTATAAATACCAGACTTCTAGAAGTGTATTTACCAAAGAATGGACGTACATAATTATGCATGTTAAGACAGATTGTTGTTTTTTACAGGATTATACCCCCATCCGACCAATTGTGGAATGTATGTTGCATGCCGAAATCATGAACAGATTGTGTTTAACTGTGAGCCAGATCGACAATTTGATCCGATTACGAAAACCTGCAAGTTCGGAACTCCATGTGTTTAATAATATGACACCATCAATTGAATTAGGCATGTTAGAAGAACATCTATTTAACCTTATTGATTGCATTTCTGCTTTGTAATCAAGTAAGTGTATTCATTCACTTATGACATTGTCAGAAATAAATTAAGGTGTTAATTTCACTCTTTCTAATTACTTGTACATACGTATATCTTGTCTGGAATCAATTAGTTGTAATCATTTTCCTGGTACGGCAAGGTTCTCCCGTATTGCATTATATTTTGCACTTTGCGTCAACAATGCGTTCATATTGCAATTATATAAACACATATGGACAAGTGGTTCGCTTATCAATTAATTGAATATGTGCATATCATTCAAGACCATTTATGTATGTATGTAAATATGTATGTATGTACATACGTATGTATTAGGAAATACGTGCGTGACTTGACACGCTAAATCCTAGACAAGGATGTTCCCTTGGCGAATTATTTTTTTTAGATACGCTTTAGTCGATAAGGTAAACTATTTATCAGCTGTCGAAAAAATAACCAAATAATTAACAATTTTTTTAAACGATTGTACATTAATATATGTATGTATGTATGTATGTATATACATACAGTACATATTTATGTAATGTATTTGAATACTACATAAACGTGCCGTTACGATTTATATATTGTATGCATATGTACGTATGTATGTAGATGTATGTAGGTAGATATGTACATATGCTTATAAATTACTATGTACCCTTCTACTGTAAACGACGCACTTCAATTTTGTCCCGACTATTACAAGTATACATATGTACATACATCACAGTTTATGTTTGTAAAGACGTACGTATGTACATATATCACGCATGAATTGGGTAAATTTTTACGTATGTACATACATACATATCAATAAGCAAGCTACTTTCGCGTCTTATGTACATATGTATGTATGTAAATCTCTACGTTGTCTCGTCAAGATACATACATACATAAACTTGCAAAATGGCAGAAATCAAGTCACTCAATATTTATGTAAATACGAAGAAGCTGAACCCATGCAACTAACTGTGATGCATTGACTACTAGGGGTACCTGCATAAAGAATGTGATTGCATTAACTTTGGTTTTGTTCAAGCTATTCTATGATTACTATGTCATCTAATTGATCAGGAGGAACATTTGCTAAATACGTTGTTGGGGTAAAAATTTACCACATTTCTAATGTACTGTCTTTCCTTAATTATTGCAAAACTTGCCATACAATTAAATGCAGCATCATCAAGATCATTTTACGTGGTACATATGTATTTATCCAGATTGAGTCGACCGAGCACGTAGCGTGGTCCAAATAAAATCCATGAATGAAGTCGGATATAAATAAATCCTTTCTTCCACTGCTGAGAAAGTTCGATGGCTGCAAATTTGCTGCATCCGCTGGAAATGAAGAAGTCACATTTATCAATCAAACCTGTTGACAAAATTTTCCGTAAATTTTGCAAATTTTGCAAGATATTGACTCCTCGAGGAAAGAAATTCTTGTTAATTATGTGCACATGCCTGGTTATAAAAGGAGTGCAAAGTTTCATTCATACTTATTCACAAGTTTTTTTCATATCTTCTCCAATTTTAGCCTCGTCTTTTTCACATTTCCCAAAAAATGTGGTCCGATTTTGTGACAAGCGTGTTCCACGTCTTTCTTCGCCTCGGTCTCCATGAACTCGAACCGACCCCACAGTTAGGGTAATAACTTTCAGAAATTTTAGTAAAATGGAAATTTATAAAATTCTATTTTTTTACCAGACAATATTTCTCCAGCGAAGAGGGTTACATTCACCACCATCCACCCGGATTGGACAGGAAGTTACCGTTTAGCGATCAATATAAATATACTGAATATGATGATTATTATTCCCAGTTAGAAAAAAAAATAATAATTTGAAAATTTTCATAAAATCTAATTAATTTTCAAACTAATTTTGTGCGTAATAATTTTTGAAGTCTCGGGGCGACCCCTGTTCGTCAAGGTTCGACTGGACTTCCGCTCGACGCCCTGATCCCGTTTTGCTCTGAAAATGGTGACGCAACGCTGGCCAAGGCGGATGACGCGGTTGCCCCCGTCACCCTGACGAAGGGCGACCCCTTCATCTTCGGCAATACGACGTACTCATCCCTCTTCATTAATACGAATGGAGGCATCTCTTTTGAGGAAGGTATGTAAGTATTTGCATATGAAGAAAATTGTTGTTTTGTGGAAAATTAATCCCAATTAAATTTCTTGTTTTAACTTTTTTTTGTCTAAAATGCAACTCGTATTTAGAAGTTAATTTAGCTCATGCCATCATTGAACATTATTTTCGTTTCATTTACGGAATAAGTTTTCAGATTTTTATTAAACTTCAAAATTCAAATTTGACACTTATCATCAAATTTCAGTTAATTCTGATTTTTATCCAACTTCAAAATTCAAATTTGACACATTTTTAATCAATTCCATAGATTATTCTGATTTTCATCCAATTTCAAAATTTAAGTTGGACACTCTCCCAATTACAATAATTGTACACAAATTCCATTCCGTTAAACTTGCCAATTCTGCTACCTCTAATTTTCCATTTCACATTTATTGCCACAGGAGTCAGTCAATTTATCCCGAATTGTCACCAATCCCCAGTCCCCATTGTTACGCCTTTTTGGGCCGATGCAAACACGCAAAACGGTGGGAATATCACGTACCGCCAATCCATCGATTCCGCCACCCTCGCAAAAGTTGACGCCATCCTGCAAAAAGGATTTCCCGGTCAGAAGACGGGACTCAAGTGGGCCTTCGTCATGACCATGTTTGACTTGCCGTTCGTCTACGCAAAACCACAGACCGATTCTTGTCCAGGGCTGGCATTGCGGAACACGTTCCAAACCGTGTTGGCCAGGGGGACCACGGAATCGTATATTATTTTCCTTTATAACAAGATACAGTGGACTGCAGGACCAACTTACACGTACGGCGATGGAGGAGATGCCTGCACAGGTGAGAAAATAATAAAATTTTGAACATTTCAAAATTTGAAAAAATCAAAGAGAAAATTTAAAATTTAGTGATTTGCAAAAATACGTCGTTACTAACTTTAACAAAAAAACGATGAAAAGCCGTTTTAATATCTCCAAGATAGTGACAAGAGATCCCAAGTTTTAATATTTTCGAAAAAATTTCACATTTATGAGCTCTCACATAAGTAGAAAAATAATCGTTTAAGAATTACAATTTGAAGTTCAGCGATTTAAAAAATACTGAATCTTATTTGAACAATTTACAAATCGAGTGAAAACCTACATTAAGTACAGGCAAAGACAAGCAAGTTTTTGTACATACATATTTCCTAAAAATTCAAAATTTGCGAGTTTAAGATTTGTATCAAAAAATGTAGATTAAAAAATTCTAAACATTTCATAGAATTTTAGTTAATTAACCTGCTCCCCCTTAATTTTCAGGAACTGGCGGGAAACATCCCCCCGTGGCAGGATTTGACGCCGCCGATGGCAAAACGCGCTTCCAACTACCCACCTCTTGCTCCCATGACGCTATTAACATCGCCTCCACGACGAACATTAACCTTCCTGGCGCCTGGGTTTTCCGCGTCACTTCCGGTCCAATTACACCTTGTGACATCCAATGTCTTCGCAACGGCGACTACCTGGCTGACCCCTACGACTGCACCTCGTACTACCAGTGCTCTAATGGGACCCCGATTAAACGCGTCTGCCCCTTTTATAGGGAACCCGAACGGCTCGTTTTTGACCCATTCAAGCAAGTTTGCGTCTGGAAAGACAAATACGCTTGCGAACCTATCTGCATTAAAAATTGAAATACAATTCCGCTCTATGAAAATCTTGTTCAGTTAAATAATTTACAGATTTGGCAACTAAATTCTTGAAGATTTGAATAAACAAAAAATTCAATTCGGAAATCTTGATTTACATATCTATGTATTTAGGTGCAAGCAGACTTGATTAATTATGATTATACACATCCATACCAATTTTAAATATTTAAGTAGGTACTTATTCATATGTATATGTGTACATGCGTAATTTTTTAAGCTTTCTAATTATTCCCGAGGAAAGAGTTTGTATGAAAAAAATTAGTTACACCAAAGTTTGCACAAGCATATTTACATACATAGATAGATACAATTAAAAACAAGTAGTGCTATCACAATATTTATTTAACTTCCACCTGACACATCAGATTTGTACCCGGAAATTTACACACGGTAATTTACTCATCAAACGTTTACACATCAGAGTTAGGTCAGATCAACGTGTTTGTCAGAAACTGGTCTGATTTTGGTTTTCAAAAATATCCGATCCGACCCATCCGTTTTTGGATAATAAAATAAATGATAAAATTGGAATGGGTAATGATTATACAAAAAACAGATATCCGACTCAACTCTGGTAAAAACTATACACTCTTAAAAACAATGTTATCCGTACGGAAAGTAAATACACTCTCAATTCTAAATTAAGCAAACTATACCAAACCACGAGGAAACTTTTCTCTTAATCAAGTTAACGTTTACTCTGGATTTAGTATTGGTTACATAATTTAGAATTCAAGGTGCATCTACTTTTCACAAGGGCAAGAGTGTGTTCAGCGTAATCCTCTTAATTGTAGAAACTTTTCCATATAATTCTCCCCACACACGACACACTAATGTGGCACACTAAGCAACAACGTGATCGTGTAGTATATCGCATTCTGAAAATACTCCACTTTTGTCTCCCTATTCAAACAAAATATATTATTCCCATTGACCCCGACACACAATCTGTGCGGTCGGACGGCGCGAATTTTCCTTCTCAAGTATTTCCCCCTCCCCCTGGGGGACAACGCCCCAACCGACCTTCTCGACAGTTCCATGGAGGCCTCGTACTGCTTATGGGCAGGTGGCAAGGTCAGATTGACAATCAACGCGACCAAGAAGGACACCGAGGGAAAAAAAGAAAAACCACGAACGGAACCACCCCGAAAAATCGGACCGTTGCAAAATTCGCAAAAATAAAAACCAACAAACCAACCGTCATTAACGCCAGTGTGCCAAGTTCTTGATAGCGTGCAAAACTTTTCACGGCTAGTTGCAACTGGATATGGGTGAAATTTATGGTTTCAATAAGTTCTTCATTACCGGCATTTAATTTCACCCGGTTCAGCCAATTTGTGAAAATATTCCGCATTAACAGAAGGACTGAAATGAAGGTTAGAATGACAAACATGAAGGTTAAACAGATTTCGATCGCGTTGATGGTGAGGATGCAGAATCGGATCAAGTGCAGAAGAAAGACTTGGCTGTGGAGTAAGTCAAACTTGGCGCCAATGGCGTGCACCAGGACGTACACGCAGTCGAGGCTCAGCGCCATGTCAGTGGTTACCACGACGAAGGGGTAGCACGTAAAGGGCGATGATCGTGAGCATCATGACTAGCTCTTGGTTGAAATAAAGCCTTGAATTGCTTGCTTTTCCAGCTCGGATATTATCTGCGATTATGCAAATTATATACATAGATAATTTTATTATGATAACAAATATTTAGGTGGAAATATGTTCCAGTGTGAAAACAACTACATGCAGGAAACTACTGCAAGAAATTGTTTTCCACTCTTGTTCCAGGGAATTTTTAACTTTTACTGAAAGTGATAAACTACGGCACTGCCAGTCTCAAAGTTCCTTGACAGTATTATTTGAGCGAATTTGAGACTAACAGTGCCGTAGTTTCTGAGAATTATCAATTTTTGGAAAAGTTCAAAGCGGCGCTGAAAGAGTACAGCACAAATTTAATAACCAGCCTGGGCAGGTTAGAAGGGTAAGTTTGTTTTAATGAAAGATTTACAAGAAATCAGCGGTATCTAGCGGCCAGTGCCTTAGTGTAGTACAACAGGTGCCCCACAAGCTGGCGCTTGTTTCGTGAATTTCTTGCATCTTGAATTTCGTCTATAATTTTAATACTAGGTTTCTAAGAGTGTGTATAACTGCAACTTACCCGTCACCAATTCCGCCTCAATTCGCAAGATCTTATTCCACCCGTTTACCGCATCTTGTCCATAAAATACAGTCATGACATGCATACTGCACCCGTAGCAATGTAACACTGCTAGCAACGAGGGAAAGATCATGTTCAGCAATTCTCTCTTGGGTCCCCACCCGTACAATTGTTCCAGAATGAAATACACGATTGCTGAAGAGTACACGATGTGGACGGTGATCACGTAGTTGAGATGCCAGAGTAGGATAGATCTCCTATTTTTGCTCGTTTTATACGAATCCCATTGTAACTGAGATTTAGCCATGTCCCACGTCATCGGAGATTTGGAAGGGAGCAGGTTTAGCATTTTTACGTACTGGGAGAACGCGTAGACAATAGTTTTCCTCGTGATGGACATATTTCTTGGTAAGAAAGTGTGCAAGAAAGTGGGTTATAAATCTTGAAAATTGCCTCGGTAGTAATTATACAGTAAAATTTATAGTAATTTATGTATTCTGCTTTCCCATCACCCTGACTTACATGAATAAAAGTGATGCAAATACTTAAAACATGTTAGAGCAATGAAATAGAAATATGTACACATGAAATATGAAATTAGGCATACTCATAGTTTTATAGATTTGGCCAATCTGCCCTTAGACAACGCTGTTCACAAATAAACAAGTATGTATGCACACTTAAATGTGTACATTGTTCGACAGATTCTAATACCGCTTGGTCTTGTTTTAATACTGAGTTACAAAGAGTTTATAGAATTGACAGACGACCATCTAGGACGATAAGGAAGATTCTGGTTTTTTGTATGGCAGGATTTCTTATATCCGATTTCTTACCTTTACTACGTATTACTCTGGGTATAAGTTAAATAAGAAATGAGCTGCCGAACTTTTGTAGACTGGGAATATTATATATGCACAGTTTTATTGGAGTAATTAGATACACGTGTAGACGAAAACAAAAGTAGGGGAGAGAGATCTATCGTTATGTGTACCTGATTATGTGGATATGGGGTAGGGTTGCCACGGTTAACCGGTCGGGAAGCTGGTGCCCGCATACCCGTAAGATTATGCTGGTACAAGTTTATCCGCAAGTAGCGAAAACCGGGGTTGCCGCGGGTAGCAAAAACTGTTACACGTTACTCGACCCGCCAACCGCGATCTAACTACTCGTACCCGCAGAGGTACCCATTCCAGGAATTTTCGCTAGGTCAACGGGTACTCGCAGAATCGTCGGGCAACAGATACCCGACTCGTTACCCGCGACAACCCTAGCGAGAGTTTAGACAAATTTATGTAGAATGATTTATTAGTTCATATGGATATTCGAATGAAGCAGGGTATTCCACCCAAGGTTAGGGTTGGGTTGGGTTCTTTAGATTTTAGTTGGTTTTCATGGGTTGTTCGTGAATAAAATTCATTATGTCTTACCATATTATGGACTGGTCACTGATTGAAAGTGTCAAGCTTCACCCCATTTTTTCAACCACTTAAAAACTAATTTTGGATCTGTAAAAAAGCATACAAATTTGCAAATTTGATAAGCTTTCTAAAACTGAAAACAGAATTTGATTATCTCTTTTCGTTAAGAAATGACAGCACAAAATGTACCTAGTCGGGTACGAAATTCTTTGATAAACGTTTTTTATGCAGAAAAATAACGGGTAAGAATTTTTAATTAAAATTTTCCACACGGATGCATAATACACCTGGGTATAATATAAAAATACTAAATATCCAAATTTCCTCTTCTGGAGCACACACACTTACAAAATCTGATGGTAAACTGATCGCCTGGATTACGCACACTTTCCTGTGGAAACTTATCTCAAGCCTTGCGTAAATTTAACAAGGAAAATTAAAGAATTTGCACTAAGCAAAAATCATACATACCCCTGGCAAATAGAAAACGTCGAAGATCTCATCCCCCTAAGTTTTTGATGGTTTGGATTTGAATTAATCTGCTGGAGAAAGCGAAACCCTGTTTTTCTCTAGGAAGGGTTACAGCGCAAGCCCAGAATTACATTACCAAAGTTGCCAAACTTAGTGTAAAACGTTTGAAGTCCGGCCTATTGAAAAATAGAAACTGAATTTCTTAAAAGGTCACGGCTCAGCCATATGGTGCAAAAATTGTCCAAAATTGACTATAAGCTCATTTCATCGATTTAATTTGGTCACAAAAATTCCATTGGTAATAGCAGACCTTAATCATCTGGATTATGACTTGCGGCTTAAAATTGAGACCATGGCCTGCTCAACCCTGGAAAATTTTACCTACCTACGAACTAGGTTAGTAGTACACCTAGACCCAAGGTAGTACATTTCGACCGGCCGTAGGCCGGGCGAAATTACCTTCAGAGAAGTTTAAAATCGTAGGATAAATTATACAAGACCAGTTGGAAGTACACTTTGACTATGACTTTGACCTAATCTAGCACTTGTTTACTAGTATACACAAATTTTGGAAGATACATACACACCACTAAATTTGAGTAGTACATACATTTCAAAGATTATAAAATTAGTAGAAGGTCGTTAAATGTAGTACACTTCTTTCGATATAACGATATAAATGCACACGGCTTGATAGACGCTTAAGATAAATTCAGCAGAAATTACACGTCGAACACAAAAACAGGATAAAATAAACGACCGAATGAAAGTACACCTCGACCAAGACAAAATCAGATAAAAATGTACTACCGAATGAAAGTACACCTCGACCAAGACAAAATCAGATAAAAATTTACTACCGAATCAAAGTACACCTCGACCAAGACAAAATCAGAAAAAAATACACTACCGAATGAAAGACTAGCCTGACTACCCGTGGGTATTGCTCTAATTTGCTACCCCAAAACCCACGAAAACCCCTTCATGGATACCCTGGTTATCAATGCTTACTGTTAAACATTGAAGTGGTTAACAGTACGC